AAGTTTGTATTCATTCGAGTAACATCACTAACAGTGAGATCCCTACACCCGTTCTCCAGAAGATGTTGGTCTTCAAGGTATTTCTGAACTGGAGGGCAAAGTGATCTAAAATTAATGGGCTACAGACACTTTTAGAGATCGGGAATGAAGTTTATGCTAAGCGAAGTAAGCTAAGCGAAATCGTAACCTTTATCGTAGCTACATATGATCAGCTTTATCGCCAGCTTCACCACTGCCTCGACTTTTTATTATCACCAGCCACTATCGTCAATATCATTAATGCAATCATTGTCGCCCACTTCACTACCTTCATTATCACTGTAATCATCACCAAAACCCTTCACTAACTTACCACTGCTACTTCGTTGCTATCACCATCGCTGTCACTGTCTGCGGTCATCATCACCACTATTCTTGTCACCATTGCAATTACCTCCACTACCTCACTATCCTCATTAGCACTATAGTCATCATCAACATAAGCAACCTCACCATCATCATCACCAGTGTTACTGTTTTGTTTTCACTGTTGCTGTCTTATTACTGCCGTCCCTGTCATCAGTGCAGTCATCGTTACCATTTCACTGCTACCACAATCATCATTAACATCATCAGATTCATAATTACTACTGCCATCATCATTATCACGAATACGAACAAGGGCTGGTCAGCTTGACGCATATTAAAAATAACCGTCTTGACGCATATAAAAATAACCGTATAAAACAAGCAGTATATATGCTTCATCCCTTAGCTGCTAACACCGTTCTAAACCACTGTTCTCATCTAATAGTGTAGTTAGCAAAGCTCTTTTTTCACTTCTTTTCTTTGAACCCTATGTTGTCATTTGCCGGAATCCGATATTCACTTTCTGCTTGAATTATGTTTGAAAAAGTTTCATCCACCAATTAACCAGAGCAATTTTCCTAATTAAACATCGAACTGTCCATTGCAGTCAGCTAAATTTTAATTTAACTTTCTTCTGGTGCGAAGGCCTTAGACGCTTCTGCTTAGTTATTGTATAACTAGATTTACTATCTCAAATAACTAGATTTACTATCTCATGCAGATGCCCTTTTGTGGCAAGGTGCAAGTGCGGTTATGCTTGTCGAAGTGGCCTGACAGGTAGTTGGCACTGACCTCTGCTTCGGACAAAATTTCGAGTTGAATCAAATCAACTCAGAAAGCTGGCATTAGCAAATGTAGTTAACAGGATTATTTTTTTTGCTAAAAAAGGAAAAGACGCATTGAAAAGGAAAATTTTAGAGATTTAGCTAGAAATATAGCTGATTGTGTCGAAAAATTTGGTAAAATACTGCGCTTCGCTGCACAGTTTCCCAATTAAGCAACGGACAAAAACTGGTCCAGTTGCTTTGACCAATTCGACACTGCCTAGTGGTCAATTTACTGATGGCCCTTTTGCCACAAAAAGTTCCGTAAAAAGAAGCAGAAAAAGCGAACAGTAAAAGCGACAATAACTAAATGTGTAAGGCTTCACAAGCTAACTTTTCCTTTATTCGCTTATTTTGTCCGTGCACATTCCCGGTAATGGCACTTTTACTGAATCTTAGTTTGCTGGATGAAATAAATTGGAATTGTAGATTCGACGGCACAGGACACTGGCCGCGAGTCGCCACCGCCAGCGCAGAATGCTGTAGAGGAAAGTGATCGCGATTGGCAGTATCATCCTAGCAAACAAAAAGTTTGTACTTACTAATATTTCTTGATAACGGAAATAAAATGGTACTTCGGGCGAATACCATGAACAGAAAAGGAATATGGTACCATGTGGTACAGTGATGCAATCATAATGCTTCTGGGAGGGCTTTTAGCAATTTTCGAGACAAAAATTACTAAATACCTTTTTAGCCAAATTTCTTTCGGGCTGGAGTGGATACAGTACTCACCTCCCTTAGTTTCGCGGACTTGTCAACACTTTTGGTTCTATTACTGTACACTACTTGCTTTGCTAAAACTGGTAGCACACCGGTAATACAGCAACTGCAGCATTCGTACAAGCTATCAATAATGATTCCTGCTTTTACGATGCTTCTGTTTCTGGCTTTTGCCGTGCTTTGGCATTTTGATCAGTTTCTTTTCATACACTGCTTCTCAAATTATGCAGCAACCAATTTTGTTCCATTTGCTTTGACTAGTGCTGCATCGCCTGGTGGTCAAGCCTGCCGGTGACCTTGACTTTTTTGTTCTCCTGAAGAGATTGCTGCAGCACTTGAAGTGGTTTTAGTCGTTTTGTAATGTCACATTTTTAATGTAACGATATTCACCACGTTTTTTCAAATGTTGCAATATGTAAACTATGATAAGGAGTTCAAATTTTATGTAAAACAAAAAATTTAATGTATGTTTGCTGAAAAAGAGTGTTTTCTCGAAAAACTGTGTGTTTTTAATAAATACTTTTATAATTTAAAATTTATTAGTAAGCTCTAAATTAAATTACATTCGTCAGCATTTTGACACTCTGGCATACTACATCGTCATGTGCGAAGCGAAGAGAATGAGTTTGCAGGAGGACACTGTAGCGTACGAGATGGAACGTGCGGATACGGGCTTTCAAACGCCTCGACGTGTTTCCAGCGCAAAGCGCACC